GCAATTGGTAGCGAGATCGCTCCCATTTTGGCTCAACCAAAATTTGGCCACGAACAGATATGCCGGATTAGGATATTTTCCACTTTCGTAAGAGACTGGTTGTTGCCATGCTGTTTCGGCACCTGCGTCGGTGCAGATAATAACAAGCAGGTAGCGTCTGCCCGCGGTGCTAGACACTGTCTGCAGAGACCGGGTAGAGAGGCCACACACAAAGCAGAAACTCTGCCAGAAGAGCAGGGGAGCAGCCACATTTTTAAAGTTTGAGTTGTCCTTCCAGAAAATGGGTCCCAGTGGTTATTGGTTCGATGACAGATAGGGTCCGTGAAGTTGGCGCTCTCCCCATTTCGCAGTTCTGCTGCACTATAACTTATATTGAATCCACGCAGCTACTGGCTACCGACTCGGTACTGAGCCAACTGTTTATGCGCGGCTGTGTAGCTAAAGATTCCGTCAGCATTATCAGCGTTTATGCCACCTTTGTGAGAGGCGAAAAATGTGGACTCAAAAAAATACCACGATATATGTGCAAAATTGTAGGCATCTCTTAGCCATTTCTAAAACTGTCAGGAGTGTCTGGGCACTCAGAATGGCTGTGCCCCTGCGGTAAAGATAGTTTACTTCTAAAATAATAAAACTCATTGCCAACAAACCATTTACTTAATGGAAAGAAGAAATTAACAGTGTATGCGATGAGTGTCCCTAAAGTAGGTAACAGCCGTTTTGCCGTAACGCGATGAAATGACTTAACTACAAGTTGACTTGAGCCCGGATATAATGCCTGGATAACTTGATGCTCCTTTACTCATGAAGCTAATCCAATCTGCGTTGCTCCCTCTCCTCTCAAGATTCAACAAACTCATCGACAACTTTTTCTTAACAGAAATATATAAGTAAAATTTGGCATACCATGTGCTATGAAGAAGGGTCATTGACTGATATGTTGCCAATTACATATATATTTAAGGCCACAATGTTATTGATGAATGTGGTGAGATGTTAACTGCTTCACGTGGTATACATGAGGTCGTGGGTTCGACCCCGACCATGACACCTGCTGTATATTTGGAGTTTGCATGTTCTCCCCGTGGTCGCGTGGATTTTTCTACGGGTCCTCTGGTTTTTCCCTTCACATTTAGAAACATGCGTTTAGAGTATTTGGCTGCAATACATTTTGACATAAGCCACTTCGTTGTGCTATCATTTGTGGCCAGGTCGTTTCTGAAAAAGAGCGACATAGATCAGTGAGTCTTACCTGGTAAAAATATAATTTTATTTAAAATGTATTTGGTTTTGTTGATTGTGCTTGTGCACCTCTGCTAAAGCAGGATGGCCGAATAATTTGTTTAATTTTAAAGATTAATTTCTCTGAAGGTAGAAACTTTCCCCCATCTAGGATATGCTGGAGCCTTTACCTCTCAGACATGAAGGTTTTTTGTGAGAGAATCATGGAAAGTGCAACCCCTGACTCAGGTGGAATGGGAACAGCACTTTGCGAAGGGACCTCAGTAAGGAACAGAGAGCCACCTTCTCTGGTTGGGATACTATGAGAGGCCATTCACCAAACAAATGCTTGAATTTCTCATATTTGCCTAGCCAATGTGATGACGAGCAGGAATGCTACCTTGAGAGTTCAGATCTTCTCCGTCACAGGAGCCAATGGCTCAAATGGCAGCTTCGTGAGAGCATGAACCACTAACTGCAGATCTCAGACCACAAGCAAAGTCTTCCTTGGAGACCTGTCCAATGATGTGACCCACAGCAATCTGGCAAGGATGGGAGACTGTCGCACTAAAGCACACTCAATAGGGGCATGATATGCCTATAACGTAGAGATACACACCCTGATTGATGCAATTGGCTTGTCCCAGTGGATCTCTTGCTGTAGATGCTAAGCCACTATCGGCAGGCCACATGTAATTGGGTTTTACAGCCTTCTTGATGCACCATTGGCAGAATGCTCTCCAATGATTCCTGTAGACACCTGTCGTGAACTGCTCTCTGGAAGGGAGCAGGAGGGACTGCACGTGCTCTAAAAGACCGAGCTTATTGAACTTCATCCTCTCAATCTCCAGGCAGCCAAGTGAAACACTCTTGACATCTGGATGGAGCTGACCTCCTTGGTTAAGCGGATCGTTCCACTGCAGCAACGGCTAAGAAGGGTGGATGAAGATCTCCGGTGGATTGGAGAACCAGGAGCTCCTTGCACATTTGGGAGCAATCAACAACAGCAGAGCACTGTCCTATAGAATCTCGCACCGCAAGCTGCGAACAATGCTGGCTGTGATGTGCATAACACCCGAAACTAAACTATAAACTAAATTTGTATTTTAGCAGGTAAGGCCCACTGAGCTGTATAGCTATTTTTCAGAAGTGACCAGGCCACAAACGATAGCTCAACGAAATGGCTACTTACGTGGAAATTTATAGCAGCCAAATACCCCCTCTATCCACTGCAAATACAGCAACTAGCAGTTGTGATTGCACCCAAATTGCAACAAACGTCACAGAATACAGAGACACGTAGAAAGTGTGGGATGGACCGAGTAAGGTAATGATAGTGACAAAGAAACTCTGAATATGAAGGCACGGGGTTTGAAGAAGAAGACGGTTTTGAGGAGAAACTCTAAAGCAAAAGGAGAAGTCGTCGCTTGCATAGCTCTTGGAGTCCTCGTCCATGAGCAGAACCTTGGCTGTTACTGCTCGTGGCCTGATGTGCACAAATCGATGGAGAGGAGACCAAAGTGCACGTTGAGACCCTGGAACATGGACAGGTCGTGTGTCCACTCGCCTAGGTCCAGCCATGTTTGACGAGGTGATCAGCCGGGGTTTTGTCGACTACCACAAGATGGATGCTCTGACAGAGATCCCACTGTTCTCAGCCCTAGACAGTAACTCCCAGGCCTCTTGCATGAGGGCTTTGAAGCGTCGTGAGCTTTGATGGTTTATCATTTGAACAGAAGGAAGGGTGTGGGCAAAAAAAAACCTCCCAAACACCATTAGCAATGTTTCTACTGCTTGTCTGAGGAGAAGGAGGCTTGATAGGGCTGCCTTGAAGAACACCATCTTCAGGCCTTGCTGTGAGCCACATACAGGCAATCCTGAGATGATTGTTCATAGTAGGTGGACTGTTGGATGTGGAGAGATGCAGGCCAAGCCTTGGACCACAAGCTGTTAAACGATCGATGTGGTTTCTTAAATTCCTTGTTGGTGTCAGAAGTTATTTAACCTTTCTGGTAGGTCCTCATAAACAGTATCCTGCCATCGAGTGACTATGAAGCACGCAAAGCATTTTGAATGGAAATCGCCATTGAAAAGTGCCGTTCCACACCGAAATATTCCAACGGAGTTGACAAAGAAACAAGGCATTCCAGCGAGTTGGATGGCCAGAGTGAAAACACATTTTATCATAAGATTAAGAAAGAAACTAAATTCAAATCGTGGTAAAAAATATGATTCCACTCTGCTTAATGGCTTTTGAAAGAAAGAGAGAGGGGGATGGTCACGGTGAGGCCACGTGTTGACCGGGCGCATCTACTGACAGCACGCTCGTATTGTTGAGTTGTCCTCTCTCTGCAGACAGTGGCTATCACCATAGGAAGATGCGATCTGTTTTGATTAATTCTATTAATGAGTATGGAAATATGCTTAGGAGCTAAAGGCCAATGTCGAGGTCTGCTTGCCATGAGAGGGCCTCAGGAGAGAGTTCACGTAGTTTTGCTTTTCCTCCGTTGAAGGAGCACAGACTACACGTCCAAAGTTTGGGTTGCGTGGCCATAATTGCACTGTGGCTTGTCTTTAATTCTCCTTAATGTACACCTACATGGGCACAAATTCCAATGGATGCAAATATGTGTTTATGACAATCTAAGATGCTATGACATGTCTAGCTCTTCAGAAGCACCACTGATATTTTACGAATTAATTTTTTTGATGAAACGTTCTTCCATCGGGTTATAACACTTTTACTTATTTAAAGACACCAAGAAAAATAACCGTTTATTCTTCCAACTTTTTTGAGTTTTTTATCCCAATTTGTGCTGTCAGCATCATGCCAGGAGGTGAAGAATCCATTCGGAAATCTCACAGAGCAGTGCAACCCTCATGACAGAGAATGGCCCACAGAAGCAGATATCACGAAACTACCTCTGAAATCTCTTTAAGTGGCCTCTGTTCCCGACAGTACAGGGCATCAATTTACAGCATTCCTGCCATCCCATGGCAGTCAAACCCATATTATAAATGCTCAGAGCTGGCATTAACCAATGTAAGGGCAAAGACAAATTGAATATGATGGTTTATTCTACAGTTTTGGTTATTGACCTAAGACCGTTAATGCACTAGAGTTGAGAAGCAGTTTAATCGCATGTGGCTGCCTGGATTCAAATACAGGTTATCAGCATTGTCAGCGCAGCACGCTGTCTTCTGTGCTATCGGCCACCTCCTTCAAACCAAAATTCATTTGATAGGGTTTTTTGTGTGTAGCCATTCATGACTTGGCCTGAGACCTTCAACTCATTACACTTGAGGATTCAGTTTTAATCACGGGTGGCTGCCTGATTTTGAAAGCAAACATCTCAGCATGGTCCACTCTGACCTCTGAGCCACGAAAGGCACACCCTTACATCTAAAATTGAACATTAATTCGATAAGTCCAATATGAAGCTGGCCTGAGATATTACTTGATCAACTAGGCCTAAACTCAGTACCTGTCTCACAAGTGGTCAGGCAAGGTGCTGGTGCCACCACCCCACTCACTGTATGTTATACTCACATACCTGGTTGAACACAAATAAAGTATGTGTTCGCTAACAACATTGCTCAACGAAGCTGGGATCATTTAATTGGTATTATATTCTAACAGCACTTTCCTCAACAGTCTGTTAAGGCTATTCTGGGGAATTTTCGTCTTTGTGTATGCGTGTGTGTATGCATGCATGTGTGTGCATCTGTGTGCGTGTGTATTTATAACTTAAGATAGAGTGTATGCGTTGTTCACTCACCGCTAGAGCAATCTGTCCCACCCCAGCCAGGTTCACACTGACACGTGTCAGGAGCGACGCATCTTCCATGGACACATTGAGATGTGCATTCAGCTGCGGAAAGCAAACGGCATACGTGAGCGCAGACCGATTACAAGCGTGCACATTATTAAGCAACGCGGGGGGGCATGGCAGATGAGCAAAGGCAAGGCTGCTTTATCTTCTCAGGGTACCCGTAAGAGTACACGGATGTACGCACAAAGGGGAAGTATGTGTGAGGGGGCACATCGCAGCCGGATGACTTTTGAGCACATGAAGAAGCAATTTCATTAGTGAGAAATGCCTTTTTATTGCCATTTTTGGCAGGGTCATCTATAGGCCACTGCAATATATATAAAAAAGCTGCAGCTCTTTGCCAATCCTTAAAGCACACACCACTGACATGGACATTGTCTGTTTAAGAATCACAGCGCTTCAGAACGTACAAAAGTAGGCAATTAAAAAAAATTGATGCCTGGGCTAAAAGTCACTAAGAACCATCGGGATAGCATCATTACACTCATCGAGTAATTTTTTTGATAAACTCAGCCTATCATTATGGATGTTAATGAAGCAGTCAGCTCATTTAATACTTTCTAAAGGCAAGATTGTTATTAATATTGTTTCATTTTCCCAATCAATTTGCAGGCGAACTACCAAATTGTAATGGTTTAGATCCAATTTGATATACTTTGCCACGTCTGATTGACTATATTAACCATGAGTAAGTTCGCTAGTTAAAGCTCTACTTACGCATGCAAGATTTATCAGATTCAATTGAACCAATGCCAGCCAGATGAGCAATACAAGTTAGCATCATGTTTCTTCAACAAATCTGTTCAATTAATGTTAACATGAGGAGTATCAAAGCAGTGAATCTTATTATTTCATCATAAATTAATTGTGGAATTAATTAATTGTGCAATTTATTCATTATATCTCAAAGTACATTGCATGTATATTTTATGTATGTTTTTTTTTTATATTGACATAGTACCATAACTACCATTAGTCAGTGGTAAAACACATTTATAATACAATTTCATGAATATTTGCAATATTCCCTTTGCTCATGTATAAACTTATTTATGATTGACTTATAAAAATGTAAAGGTGCACCCTGCAGTTTCCTGCTCTCGCTATTTCTGGTGGCAGAACCTCCTTTAGAAGAAATTATAGAGAGATCCCCTTTAAAGGGCATATGGCCTTTACCTCCACACTGACCAGATGTCTCGGAAGACATGGGAGTACCCCCCACCCACCCCCCCGAACCCCCCACCATAATTCATCAAACACAACTTTGCCAGTCGACTAAGTGTAGCGTACCCCCATTGGTACTGCTGGGTGGACACACAGGCGGGGATGATTATTAAGAAGGTTGCAATTACGATCTAAAGCTTTCGTGACTGCAAGGATTCGTCTTCTTGGTTCTTTCGGTAAAGTCACGTAGAATGAGAAAAAAACAATAAAAACAAAATAAGACAATAAAATTCTCACGACGTTTCGGCCACAACACAAGTAGCCGTCCCAACAGTTCTGTTCCTTCACCTGAAAAAGGCTACTTGTGTTGTGGCCGAAACGTCGTGAGAATTTTATTGTCTTATTTTATTGTTTTATTCTCATTCTACGTGACTTTACCGAAAGAACCAAAGAAGAAGGTTGCAATTATTTCAGTTGCTACTCCAGGAGAACGAATTCAACTGGTGATCTCTGGTTTGCATGTCGAATGGTGGTGCTCACCGACACCACAGCAGCATCCACTCTTCATAAAGCAGCATTGTGCGTCAACAATCTTGGGCTAAACATATTGGAATGTCACCACAAATCTCACAGGCAGGCCACAAGTCAATATGATCCAGTCGGCTCTCGCGAGACGAAAAAGCCAAAGAACGTTTTCCTTAAGAATTCAAAGGCGACATGTTGTTCAAAGTGTTGCTTTCGACCCTTGAGGCCATGTCTGTGTAGTTGTCAGCCCATGCCCTTAACAAATTAATTAAGATAAATAACACAGTCTGGGAATTGTTTAATAAGATAGCTGCTCTGTTGTGGTGAGGATTTTTGTTCACCATCAATTTTAAGCGCGTAATTATTGGCTCGTAGAGTTTTGTTTATCGCTATTTTCTAAGAAGTGCACACACACAACCGTTGTTTTCCCATAAAACCCAGAGAGACGAGAAATGTTCCACTTTTGGTTCATTCTCATGCCTACACATTATCTCGACCCACTGCCCATCATTCCTTTAAAGGCAGCATTAAGAATGCATACTTTTGGGCATTTTTTTTCATGGCACTAAATATTAAATTGGATTTTTCAACACTCTGCACCTAAACATTTTTTTACTAGGACTGAGGAAAAGCACCCACAAACTTAAGCCCAAAGGAAAGCCCGGGAGGAAAATTAGACTTTGAAATACATGGAGAGATTATGTTCAATTATTTTACGCATTTTTTGGGCGGGGAGGGGGGGAACGCAATGATGATTTGAGTAGGAACGCAATATCACGAATTGTTGTAGGATTTTAGTGTCGGCTGAATCTGGCCAGGCCAGAGTTTGCCTTATGCACTGGGTTATTACCTATGCCAGGAAGCTGCAAGATAATTAAGTTAACTAAATCACACGTAAGGGACCCAAAAACCCTACACATTTTGAAATATGATGATGCTCTCCAGGTTGATGCCCCTAGAGCAATGCCTGTATTTACAATCGTTTACCCAACCAAATTGCCTGTTCATTATCATAATCATTACCGAATTATTTCACAACATATACGCACCCAGCAATTTAACGAACACCTAACAAAATAACCCTAGCGTCTGCTCCCCACTTTGAAAATCTAATTTGAGAAAAAAGTAGTAAACAAAAATGTTCCAGTGGACATAAAACCACAATATATTATGCACAATACTATATGCTACGTAATTGTAACAAAGGCCTTTCGGGAAACATTAAGCAGCCACTTACGCAGCATTTGGCTGAAAGGAAAAAGTGCTGTTTAACTTATTAAAGCCTGGAGCATGACAGTCATTACAGGAGCTTAAAGTTTCATGATATTATTTATTTAAAAGCTACATCACAAGGCTTTAGGACCAGCACATAGGACGAGCAGCCTTTGCATTGTCACATTAGATGCATGGCATTTGCCGGGGTCTATAAGCTTTAACAGATCACCGATCCAATAACCTCAATTGGCTGTCAGCACAGGAATCCAATAGCAGCTGGCTGGGAAAGAGTGAATAACGATTCGGTTTAATTTCCGAGAGCCATCCCAATTAGGACTCTGCAAGCACACGGTAAAACCCTTTAATTTAAGTAAAAGAACCGTTGGCCAAAGTTCAAAGCTTGCTAAGTGTATTGCGATGTGTTTATAGAAAAGTTCCTGCGGGCCCTCATTCACGCTTGCTTTTGGCAAATACAGTCGTCCCGATAGATTTCCGATGGCTCTAGTCAAGGAGGAGCGAGCGATGTTTTGTAGGCGTTCTAACCTTTTGTTTTCTGTCGCGATTTGCAACTGGTAAAATGTTCAAATGGGACCGAATGTTTTTTTAAGTAACGGCTCTTGCTGTATTTGAGCCAAAGAAAAATGTGTAAAAATTGGACAAAACCGATCAGAAAAAGAGATCCTATTTCATATTTCCTTCATATTCTGGAGAGTGTGATCATGTTTATCCACAAATATTTGCACTCTGCTTAAAAAACACAACCAACATCTTGATTAACTCAGCGCATGACACGGTCACCCCCAGGTGTAAACATACGCACGGGAAAACGCATGATTGCTTACAAATCCCAAAGCAAAATTGTAAATGCTGGGAGATTAGCATTCACCATTTACAGCATAATAATGAAATGCTATATCTAAAAAAAATGCGTCAGCCGAGCAGAAATACAAGTAAGCGATCATTATAAACAATCGATTCAAACGTGAAAGTGGTATTATGCTCCAAAAAACTAAAATGCCCATGCTTAATTACCTAGTAATTCTCCTGAACACCCGTGGGCCGCAGGACGCGCTGGTGGTTCTGGGCTCAGCTGAGAGTCAATGAGACCTTGGACCGAGTCAAAGGTTTTCTGGTTTGAACACCAATCTCTGTGCCTTTGTGCATTGAATACGGATCTGCTGTGCAGGCGTGTGTATGCATTGACATGTGCCTTAAATAGGGTTCATAAGGAGCAATGCTTTATCGAACAAGACACGTACATCGCCCCGGAATGCTACCGTGGTGTAATGGTTTGGCACACTGGACTTGCAATTTCGGAGGTCACCGGTCAGATTCGATCACCCGGCGTGGCAGTTGAAACAACGGTGCAAGGCTCCGAAATCCCCTCCCACTGCCACTGTCCACCCATCAGTATAAATGGGTACACACCACAGTCGATCAATAGGCAGGTGGCGTGTGGTGGGGTAAAGTGTGGCTATTACCACCTCTTCCAATACATGTGGCCGATGTGGAAAAGTAGGCACAAATACACTTCAGCGGAGGCCCTTTTTCCAGCAGTGCTGTGAGTAAGCAATCGCAGAGCTGCACTTTTACCTTATATATGACAGGTTTGTCAACAATCGGTGAGCCGTAAAAGGAGACAAATATATTTCGATTTAAAGCTTTCGTGACTGCAAGGATTCATCTTCTTTGGTTCTTTCGATAAAGTCACGTAGAATGAGAATAAAATAATAAAGTAAAATAGGACAATAAAATTCTCACGACGTTTCGGCCACGACACAAGCGGCCTTCCTCAGGTGAAGAAACAGAGTCTATCCAGGAGACAGAGCCCGAGTGGACCCCGTCACGCCAGGATTGAGTCTTATTAAGGCTGTGTGGGCGGAGTTGGATGAGCATGTTACCAGCCCCCACCCGGGGCGGAGTAGGGAGGGGGTGGCTGGTGGAATCAAACACTAATTAATCCTAAACAAGTTTCCCCAGCCAAGGTGCGCGCCATGTACCGAGCTGCACCATGACATGCCATAAGGACCACTATGCAATACAATACCATACCTTCAAATCCAAACTGCATCGTTATAACATAGACAAATTCACCTTTGAATTATACAATGCGTTACTTTATACTACCCCGTACT